GAATTCGTCTGGGTTTTTACAACAAAAATGAGAATATTAAAAATAACCTAAATAAATTAGAAAGAAGTGTGTCAAAAATAACTAAATTAAGACCACAAAGGATGAATTTATTGTCAGATCTATCACTCATTTATGTTTGAAGAAGTAGTAGGTTTACCAGACCCATCGTCTTCAACATTAGAAGAGTCAACACAAATATTTGAACTAAATGTCGGAGAACGCCATTTAGATTTGTCATGTTTGCCTCTTGACATATGGCGATTAAATGTTGAAGGATATTGAAAATCATGTTCACAGTCAAAGCAATAAGTCTTGGGAGGTGAAGATGAGTCTTGGAAGGTCTTCTCTAAAAAAATATATAAATTTTTTTAAATTCAAAAATTTTAATAAGTTTATCCTAGATTGGTTGTATTGTACATTTACACAAAAAATTACTTGTTGGAACGGTTGAAGATTTTTTTTGGCGTGGCCATTTTGCGTTTTGTCCCTAAATAAATTTAAAAATATATGTATATTTAGATTAAATGATTTTTAAAAATCCAAAAATTCTCTCACTTGATTTTACTATTTTTCTAGTCTAAAGTATTTTCTCCAAGCTAGATTAATTTTTGATATCAACAAATTTTAATAATTTCCACATATGTAATTACCTGCAGCAAGGATTTGTTCTAATCCACTGCCTTTATTTTTATTAATTAATTTGGTGACGCTAGTTGTTAAATTCGTTAGTTGATCTGCCATTTAGTCAGTTGAGCCGCTATTTTGTCCAACTTCCCAAGTTTCTCCAAAATCAACTGAAGAATATTCTGATTTTCAGGAGTAGTTCCAACTAACTATAAATTTAAAAAATTTTCGAGTTTACACTAAAAATTAGCAACCATAGGGTCAGTTTGGCTTGACGAATCAGTCATTATTTGATGCTTAAATTTAATTTAATTAAACACTAAAATATTTTTAAAAATATATTTAATCAAAAAATGTTTTTTATAAAAATAAGTTGAATATATATGTATTTTAAAATATGAGAAAAATGATTTTAGGTCTTGTAAGGTGATGAACGTTTACATAAACTTTCCTTATTTTTTACTCCAACCTTTATTAATAATTTTTTTTTTCTCAAAAAGATTATAAGAAATTATTGGACGGCAAAATTGATGAATGAAAAATAATTTTGAAAACCCATCAAATGATAAATATTTACCTAGGCCAAGTTCTATTGAGTAAAGTTGGGTAAAATGAGAAACTAAGCGTTTTATAATAATTTTACATATACTATTTTAAATGGAATATAATTTTAAATTTTTAAGAATTTAAAATATTTTTTTGAAAGAATTAAAGCTGATGTATTGTTTATATGAATGAGACTTGAACTTGAAAGGAAACTATGTAAATGAACATTATAAGGAGATGATCCAACCAGCTCAAACAATTAAAGATCTCTTTAAATATTTTTAGAATTCTTTTCGATTCCCGAAAAATTCAAAATTTACAAGTTGGTTTTTAAACATGAAAAATAAAGACGGGATCAACCCAGAAATTCAAAACCCAGAATGTCAAGACCCAGGAGGTAAATTAACCAAAAGGTCAAATACAAATTTTGCGCGGATAAATAATGATTTGTGCATATTAAGACGGATTTGGGCGGATTAAGAAGGATTTGTTGGAATTAAGGGGGATTAAGAGACTGGGGTGGACCCGTAAAGGCTAATAAAAAGTATAAAAAATAAGAGGCAAGTGTGCATAAAATTATTGAAATTGACATGATATTCTCAAAATAAACTCCAACTTATTTTTATTTGTAAAATTCATTTTAAATTTTATTCATAAAAATTATCTTTAGTAATTTCTTTAATTTTCTTACCTTCATTTTTTTCATTTTTTCTCCTATAAATGGATAGACCATCATAGTGCAAGATAAAATATTTTTAGTAAATTTATGCCAGTATTTTATGAGTTGATTATTTTCCATTGTTTCATCATTTATTTTGTAGACAATTTTAGGACTAATTAAAAATAATGAGATACTTTTATTTTTTATAAAAATTAATTAATATCAGAATTTGTCTTGTAAGAATATATTTTAAAGGAAAAATAATTTTTAATAAAATTAAAGTTCAATTTTGATTTTTACCTCAATTTCAAATCATTTAAAGAAATATTACTAGCTGTGTTAAATATTTCAACAAGGAGTTCGACTGGCAGAGATTTTCTTTGTTTTATTGAAGTATTTTGTTGTTCCATTATAAAAATTTTAATTTGAAGATTTAGGGGCTAATGAGTTTATAAGTTTTGGACCAAATGAATTTATGGAATGACTTGTTTATATGGTATCACGACTTTTGCGCCGAGAACATTTGCGCCGCGACTTATGCGCCGCGACTTTTGCGCCGGGCGACTTTTGCGCCGCGACTCTTGCGCCGCGACTTTTGCGCCGGGCGACTTATGCGCTGCGACATTTGCGCCGCCATTGTTTAAAAAATCCGGATCCGAAAAATGCCGGATATCCTAAATTTTCAGTTCGGATATCAGATCCGAAGATTTTCAACTATTTGACAACCCTACTAAAGTGAGGTCCGGCTGTAGTTATTGATATATTTTTAATGACAGTGGCGGCGCAAAAGTCGCCCGGCGCAAAAGTCGCGGCGCAAAAGTCCCCCGGCGCAAAAGTCACTCGGCGCATAAGTCGCGGCGCAAAAGTCGCGGCGCATAAGTCGCGGCGCAAATGTTCTCGGCGCAAAAGTCACGGAACCGTTTATATAGTTCAGACACTATATGGCATATAAATGTTTCCTCGCTGTGCATTCTCCCTATGTCAGAATCAATAAAGAGTTATGGCCGCACTGCCCTCTTGCCCATAAGATCAACTGACTTAAGATCACAAAGATATTTATTTTTAGATGTTTAATTAGTGCCGTGTGGTTTAGGCTGTAGTGAATTGGGCGATGAATTGACAGTGAGTAATTTCGAAAGTGTGTGATATAGGCAGTAGGTCCACAGGCATCTCCAGAGGTATATAATACTACCGGTATATTATAGCCCTCATTTTTACAAAACCGGCCGAGTTAAATTAAAACAAACAAAAAGCATTTATTCAAAAACGTTTATATTATTCTGAATATTTTAATTAAAATTATTTTAAAGTGCCGAAAGGCGCCTTATTTGTGAGGGGGACGATTTGTCATTTGTAGAAGAAGCATCTGTTTGTGCTACACCCAAAAGTTTTTGAGAAACATCAAAAGCTGCATTTCTTTGTTCTTCCCCTCTTTTATTTTTTTCATCAGTCACAAAATTAGAAAATGAATGGCGAGCATATAATAATTGGGTAGATGTTGGAATTGTATCTAAAAATCATTACAATTTTTAAAAAGAAAAGCATTTTCTAGTCAAAATAGTCAACTCTCCATATACCGTATTCCTCTAAAATAATGCCCATTCAAAAATTTTTCCCTAAAATTCAAATTTAATTAGTCAATATTTTTAGCTAGTTTTCTATATTTTTTTCATAAATACCCTCTAAAATTAAATAGCTAGTCTGCGAAAATTCGAAATTTAAGAAATTTGTCAAGTCCTGTTCAATACTCTCTTATTTTACCTTTATCAACAATTAAATGTTCGTCTCCAGCCGTTGCAGTAGAATCCAAAAGTAATTTAATTGCTGTTAATGCTGGCCCGGGAATAGTTTGTTGATCTAAAATAATAATTTTTCATTTATTGTTAGCAACTGGGTTTAGTCGTTAAAAGAATTAGTTATCAGACTAGGTGGTATTAGTCTTAAATCCATTCCTAAAAAATTTGAACGGGCGACACATTTCTTGATTGTCATTGATATTCTTGTTAAATTAGGGGTTAGGTTTTTATATAAATAAATTGGTAACATGCCAAGGTACCGCCGCCCAAGATACTTACCACAAACAAAATAACCTTGAGTTACCCAAATAAATCCTACTCTTACAGTTTAAACTAGGGTTGTTCACTACTGGTTATTAACACCCGGTTTTCGGTTTTGAGTTTTTTTTTCACAAAAATTATTTTAGAATTTTCTTTACCAATTTCGTCTCCTTCAAATTTTGGAGAATTACTATGAACAGTCTTTGGTGTATAAAATATTTCAGTGACGCCATCAATGCTTGAAACACTCCAAGAAACTCTTGAATTATTATTTAATATTGTCAATCCTTCCTCCTCTTGAGAACTATTTCCTCCGCTAATTTTCATTTTTTGCATTTGCTCGGCACTTACTTCAGCACACCAAGAAGCACTTCGGGCAGATGATGCTGATGGATTTTGAATTTTATTATTATTTAGAGTAGATATGTCTCCACTCTTTCTGAGTTGATGAGAAGGAAGAAGTCGATCAAAATTATATTGGTGTGAATTACCGGAAATTGTAAAAGATTAAGAAATATTTAGATTATTTTTTGAGGTTCAATTGATCTAACAGTTGGAAATATAGTTACGTAAATAAGCCGCCCCTTAAAGCCACAGGATATCTTCAAAAGATATCCGAACAGGATGAGAGCAAACGATAATTTCAGAAAACAAAACAAAGCAAAAACGCAAAGTAAACAACCACGCAAAACAAGAACACAAAACAAATGATCCGAAACAGAAGATTTCGGACATTCGGGCTTTAGGTTGCTGATTTCCGGAAACGCCACCTTTCCTATAACCCAATCAGAGTAAGATTCCATATTAATATTTAAAGTATTTATTATTACTTTCATTCTTAGTGAAGGTTTCTGCGACCAACGGCGAAATAGAAGAGCATGCACGTACTCGCCCATTAACCTTATAAACAGGGATGCCATTATTTGAAGAAGATAAATCTTTGAGAAGAAAATTGGGAATTTTTATTAAAGATAAGTCCAGAAGTAATTTCACCTGGATTATCGTTAAAATTATTTGAAGAGAAAGGAAAGGAATAATCATCTAGAGAACCAAAAGATTGATGTAAAACATTATGATTTATTTTAGAGACTAAAGGACGTCCTAAAAAAGAGGAATATTATTTGCAAATATTTAATATCTTGCCTGACGATTTTAGACTTCGTTCGCTTGAATTCCCACTAGATTTTATACAATTACTCTTAATACCACGAATTCCCATTAAGGAAGCAGAGAAGCGTTTGCGCAACAAACGCTCATCTTCAAAACCTCTTCTCATTTGTTGAACTATGAAGGAAATCTGAAAAATATTTTACTTAAATTTTGATAAATTAATATTATTAGACCAAATTTCTCCATGCCATAGCAGTCTCTCTACATCGATGCTTCCTTCCCCCACTAGTGCCATCACATTCCAGCAGACTTTGTATAATGCACCTGTTAATAATTTACTTGTATTACGCCCTAAGTACCAGAAATAAATGTAAAAATTACTCAAGAAATGTATCCCAATAATGTGTCGGAAAAGCTCTTCCACCATTCATCTGGCAATGTTTTTTGCCTAGCGCCTGGAAATGAATGCCTAATTTGTCTGTATATTGCACGTTTTTGACGATATATTCTAATGCACGCGTAAGAACACTTGCATGTCTTCGAAATTGTCCTTCATATTTAAGGCGGCCTTTGAAAGTTTTAATTTAGTAGGGGGTTTGAAAGAAGCCTCCAAATTGGGTGTGTCGGAATACCTTGTGGTACTTTTTCCAACCCAAAAAGCAATTTAATGTCTGGCTGTGCTGTCAAAACTGTATGAAAAACTCGTGAACCAACACCACCATCAGCGGCTCCCTTAACAAATTTAAAAATAATTAAATATTATTATTTTCTGCACTTTTTTAGCCCTTTTCCAGCTGTTTTCAATAAGAACACGTTGAGTACGAGTTAATAAAATAGTTACAACGGAGGCTGAATTTTCGATTCTAGACATTTGTAAATTTTGGTTTTGCCTATTTAATGTCTCGTTTGAATTAGTGCTTCCATTAGAGCCAGATTTTCTTCTTCGATTTTTATCTCCCGCTTCCAAAGTTTCCATATCAAAAATTATAGCCTGTTGTGAATCGTCATTCAATTGAAACGATTCTTTTGTTGTAGAACTGCATTGTGGGCTATCTCGAGGCTTTAAATTTTTGTAAATTTTTGAAGTTTAAAATGAGGAATATGTTAGTATGAGGGACACTGGTTATAAAAACCCCGGTAAATATTCGGCTTTATGTAGACTTATCTTCAAAAAAGGCTCCATTCTGCTCCATAACTCAAGTTTTTATTTTTTAATCTTAAACCTTGGCCCGGACCCAACTCATCTCAATTAATAGGATCGTGAATGATTTTGAGAAGTATAGAAAAGTATTCTTAATGGAGTATTCTCCTATATTAAAATAATTCTCCCTGACCTCCACTGCCACTCCACCCAATTTGCGACCACTATGCCGTTGCTGAACTAATAAAGAATCAGCTAAAAATAACAAAAGTTTTCAATTAGATTATTTTTATAACCTCTTGGACTGTTAACTTTATAACGACGATCAGCTAAAGAAAGCTTAGTTCCAGAGCTTTGTGTTGCTCCCATTTATTATTTTTAATGTTTTTTGATTTATTCAAAATAAATTTTGAAATTTTATGCTAAATATTTAATGGCTAAAAATAATTCAAAAATGAACCCTTATAATGTATGTAGCAATTTTTAATATTTCTTTCGAAATGATGGCTAAATTTTTTACATTAAGGTAAATTTTCTCCTTCAGTTAAAGGGGGAAACCCCCTTTAGTTCTCCCTCTAGTGTGAATTTTTTTTAATTTTTTAAAATATGTATAATTTTCAAAGATTTGGAATTTTTTGGCACCCTATATATAATTAATAAAAAGTAAACGTAGTATAGCAATGAATCGATAACTTGATAATCTTGATCTCGAAAGCCGAGATATTATCTTACGAGTATCATCTATCGAACTATAAATTTTATAAAATTTTTAGAAAATCTTTAGAAATTTTTTTTTAAAAAATCAATCAGACAACCTAATGTAAATTAAAAAAAGCAACTTAAATAAATAAATATAAAATAAATAAAATAAAAAATTTAGAATAGAAAAATAAAAAAGAAAAAAGAAGCTAAATTAATAAATCGGATTAACAAAAGAATAAAAGACAAACGTTCCTAAATTAATATTTAAGTAAATAAAATTATATACACATACATATGTCTTTAGAATATTCTATAATTTTTTATTATGTTCATTTTTTAATTAAATTTATAAATAATAAAAGCTTTTATTGGAATTTTATTAGAATAGAAATTTAAAAATTAATATTTAATTTTTTTGGATATTGAAGAAATTTTTTAACTTTTAAATTTTTAGTGCTTAAAATAACAAAAAGTAGTCTCTTGATAACTACATACCTCTTAAAACAGAAAGTGACGTATGAGGGGGTGTTAATACAGGCTAAACACAGTGGATCTGAATAAAACTAATACAGGCCAGAGAGATTTTACTGAGATTATTTCATTCGATTTAATAATATTCATTAAAGACAAATTTTGATGTTTCAATGGGAAAATGAACAAGTCTAAAGTCAAAATGTTTGGAAATCTAGTACAATACTGAAATAAAACCTTCTAAAATTGGACATCAGAAATCAAAGGAAATGTCTGAAAGTAAACGTCTGAAAATTCACTTTTCGCTTTAGCAATAAAAATAATTTTTTGAATATTTTATTTTCATATAGTACTTCAAATGCTTATTTAGTAAAAGAATATTTCCACTTAAAAAATAATCAAAAAGACAAAAAAAAATATTAAAAGCAAGCAAATTTTATTAAAAAATTTTGTTGAATTATTTTTTAATTTAATATTGAAGATAAAACAGAAGAAGAAAAAGAAGAGGAAGTTGAGGGAGATGACGATTTAATAGAAATATTGACATCTGAAATATCTGAATTTGAATTCTTTTTTAATTCAGAAAAATATTTAAATTTATTTTTATCTTCAAAAGTATTATTTTTGTTATTATAGCTATATTTCCATATTTCGGCCAGGCAAACACTGTAAAAAATTTTTTTTGAAAAAGTTTATGTACTTCAAACTAATTTTTTAACCTTGAGTGGAAGCGAAAGAAAACAACTAATGGTGCCACGCCAACTTAAAAATAATACCAAAAATCATGAAAAATTTTGAATATAGAAACAAACAGCAGGCATGACAAGGGATTGGAACCGGAACATTAGCAAGTACTGAATCGTCGGGAACTCTTACCGAAGAACTCTTACATACATATACATATTATTTGGTACTGGCAAAATACTGATATATAGAGAAAAGTTGTCTTTTACTAAGAAAACTTTGGGTAAATGTCTATGCATTAGATAGGGTAGAATAAAGGCCCCACCAAGTATATCGTTTTTTCACTTAGTTTCCTAACACAAATTTCTGATTTATAAAATAGCTTTAATTTAAGCCTTAAAATTCCCACTAAATAAAAAAATTGTGTAGAATACCAATAAGCTTTGCATAGGGTCTAGCCCGTCTCGTAGCAATTGTGTCGCCAAAAACTATTATTAAATTATTTCCAAAGAAATTTATTAATAAATATTACCAGATTTCATCCCTTCAAGAGTATGAAAAAAGAATAACGACACATTAGAAATAAGCAAAAATGTAACAAATTGTTTTCCAGGTTTTTCTCTACGAGTTTTGGGAGATAACGCGCGCAGTCTTTTTAATTAAAAAATTATTTTAAGAGAAAGTTTCCCCCTCAATACCTCCTTGACAAGAGTATAAAGACTGACTGTACAACAACTTGCATAATTCGTGTTATAAATACAAATAACATATAAAACTGTCAAGAAAATAAGGTTTATTTTAGAGTAGCACGAGGTGAGGCATCGCCTTACCGAGGCCGAGGTCCTCGCCGACCTCGGGTCTTGGAACCTCGTCTCGGCTAACCTCGGGCCTCGGAACCTCGACCTCGGCTTTTCCAGCCTCGGTGATCCTCGGCCTAGGTTTTTTTCAAAAAACCTCGACCTCGTGCTACTCTAGTTCATTTGGGCTAAATAAAATTTAAAAAATCAACACCTCCATTTTAATTGGTGCTTTATCCGATTGAGTAGATATCCAACACATAACACCGGCTGATAAATAATTAATATTATAAAACAACAAATTTTTCTTAACTTGAACTGTGTATAAGTTCCCCAACAAGGCCAATTGCTAATAAAATTTCATCCAAAAATTCAGTATTAGTAGCCCTTTGTTGTTCTTCGTGGGGTTGATATTGAAGAGAATTCATTCTAAAATTTGGCATTTATTTAATAGTTATTTACTGTAGTTATTCTCATTAGGTATATGTTAATATTATAATAATTACCCTGGATAATTATTAGAATAGATATGGCATGTAGTATATGTTAACAATAGCTAAATACATAGTGAAATAGATTTAAAACTATAATACACCAGAGATAGAATGGGTTGCTCGAAACACAGACATTTTCGATTCGAATCCAAAGAAAATTTTGTAAACTCAACCCAAGGCCAAAAGTTTCCTAACCCGATCCATCATAGATGTACCGAATAAAATGCGAAGGTTTTTCTGTGGGTCTAGGTGTGGATTCTGGGAAACAAAAATGCTAGTCGATTAGATAGGCAATTATTAATAATTTTTTAACAAATCTCAACAAAAATTATGTAAATTTCCTGAATAATCCAATAGAACAACCAATCAGTGTACAACAAAATAGGGCCATATCAGAAAGTCGAAAGACAAGTAAAGCCCCATCTGGATCTTCGTGTTGTGAGAAAAATGAATGTATCCCAATTGATACAAAAGAAGCAATTAAAAATAAGAGTCCAGCAAAGAGACCTCCGCTTGATGCACTTAATAAATTATTTGTTTAAGAATTTTAGTATACAGTTGAATCTACGTCTGCTAATCAGCTTTGTGGTAGACGTTGTATCGGGATTTGACCGTAATAGTCAAGATAGTTCAAAATAGTTATGTGAATTTTTCTCTAATTTTAGTTATTAATAGAGCCCGAACTTAACAAATCCGGACCAAGTTTTAATGATTTTTAGTTTTAACTTGACAAAGACAAGTTATAATTATGGTTTTGTCTTAATAATTCGTAAAGAGTAACAGGTATAAGGTTACCGGACCATAAAATCCCTGACCAAGGCCTCTGAAAAAAGTTCATTAAAAGATGTAATTACCTGCAATCAATTCTGATATTTTTTGTAGTTTTTGTAGATTGAGCTTTCGTTGCCAATAAATTAAAATATTCATTAGTACAATTATTTGTTTTATTAATCAAATTATTATCAATTGATTTCCAAATTGTTATCATAATTGCAGCACCAATTACAGAATATTCCTAAAACATATGAATACAAACTAGAGACAATGACTTCACTGATTCTAGGTCTCTATTTCAAAAATCTAGACTCGCCAATCGAAAAATCTCTTTGTCAAATGAGAATTTCGGCCTTAAAACCCGAGGTTATGGCTGAGATCACGTCTCAATCTGATCTCTAAAATCGTTTAAGAATACAATTCCTCTTACATCAAGACGATATTTTGAAAGGGACTACCGTATTTATTCTAATATAATGGCCGCCACTCTATTTTTTGATACTCCCAAAAAGGGGCCATTCTATTGAAGGGGCCATTCTATTGGAGGGGCCATTCTATTGGAGGGGCCATTCTATTAGAGGGGCCATTCTATTAGAATAAATACGGTATAAGTAAACTCTTCAAAAGTCATTTAAGATGACATGTAGGGAGTTATTATAAAAGATTAAAATATTAGCAATATTACCACAATACACGTAGTAAGTAAAGTAGCAAAATCGCCAAAATAATTGAACGAAGAGACTCTCAAAGGTAAAATTAAATTGTTCGAATTGAATATTAATTTATTATTTAAATTTTCCAATCCAATAAAGCTCAAATTATTTTTATTTTCACTAAAAAATAATTGTTCTTCTTCACTACTGCTGCTGTCCAGTAAAATTCTCTGCCATTTATTTTTTATTTGTAATTCCGGAGCTTTTTTATCCAAATCAGCATTTTTTGCAATTACAAAACGGAGCCAAGTCCAAATATTAATTGATAATAAATGCATCGTTCCAAATTTTATTAAGTTTTTTGAATCGCCAACAACTAACTTTATATTAGATTTATTTAAATGTTTTTAAATTTTGCTATAGTCTCTCATCGTCATTTATTCCGGATTTTATCAAATTACCGTTTCCGGACTATTGAACCCAGAAATCCTTGGCCTGGCTCGATTCGAAATCTAGTCTATAGTCTTTAATCTAAATTTTCATGATCATATGGTCGCCGTTTTGCTTTGATTTAAGTCTAAATATTTGAAATACGACATGGTTCAACAACCCTGGTTATGATTTTAGCTTTAAAACAAACTTTTGAATTGCAGAAAATAAAATGCATTTGAATGAAAGTAAAAAACCCAGCCAATAGCCAATTAACAAAACGATAATTATAACACTGATTATTTGAATGACAGATAAACATTTCTAAACAGAATAAAACAATTCCACTACTTCCAAAACCTTTAAATTTTAAAAAATTTTTATTTTTATAAATTCAATTAAAAATTATGATTTTAAACTATCTGTAATGGAAGGCCAGGTTAAATTAATCCGGTAAAAATCGGAGATAGGCCAAAGGGACTTGAACTTTTGGCAGTTGTTCTAGGCGTTTTCGCTCACCATGTACAGGTCCTCTACCAACTTAGCTACCGGGGGCTGTTTTCACCTTCTCTTGCTTTCACCTTCACCTAGTGAGCGTTTTAAACGCTAACCAGCTGGATCTTTCTCTTTCTTACATAATATAAATGCTAGATTTGGGAATCGGGCCTCAAAATAAGGAGTTTCCTCTAAAATGTTGATCTTATGCTTGGTCCTAATTATAAATCATAAGCTATGTCTTTTATAAATCATAGAAAAATTATTTACATAAAGTTCCAAGCCGTAAATATAGAGAACCAGCACCATCATTTTTAATTCGTTCAAATATTTTTTTATTATTTTTTTTAAATATTGAACATTTTTTAAATATTAAATTAGTAATCCATGTTGGGTGACTGACTTTAAATAAATAGCAATAGAAAATAAATAATATACCAATCCCATACATATAAGAAAAGAAAATCTTGAAAAGAAAATTTTGAGAAAAAATTTTTTAGGGAAAAACCGTTTCTGCCAGCCATTCATCTGAAGTAAATTCTTGAGAAAGTTCTACTACTATAGCGAAAACTATAATAAAAAGAGCATAAAGGGAAGTGAGGACAGAACAAAAATGATCCCTAAAAAAGAGAAATTTATTCCCTAAAATTAAAAAATTTTAACCAAGCAGGTGAATGGTTAAGCCAACTTTCATAATATTTTCCCGATTCTTCTTGTGGATATTTAACTTTGTTAATTTCATTATTAAAATTTTCTTTATTATTTTTTTCGTTTTCCAAAGAAATTATTTTGTTGTTATACGATTGAAAAGAATCTTTGCAAATCGAGGTTGATCCTAATAAACAAGAATATTATGTACTATATGTATTACAAGAATATTATGTATTATACATCAATGTTTTTCTATTCCTTGATTTTCTCATGGATCAAATTAACGGCTATCCCTGACCATTATGAAACTTTTAGGAGAAAAGGAAGTAAAAAAGAACATTAGATGGATAACGTAAAAGTACCCAATGATTTATTTAAAGAGATAATTATTTTCAGGCCCTGAAATGCCTTGGCATAAAATATCGGATATACGAGATAATTTAATAATTACGAATACCTTCAGTATCAAAAGAATCCCTTTTTGCTTTTGTTATATGGTCAAAAACAGAATATTGTTGAAGAACCATTAAAAGCAATTTTAAAAAATTAATTGAAATATTTTTTAATCGAAAGTGTCGAGAATTTAGAAATAGTTATTTTCTAATTTTTATTACTTTGTAAAAATTTAAAAATTTATTAAAATTTAATTCTTATCAAAAGTAAATTTCAGAATATGTAGGTGTGGGCATTTCGGTTCCTAAGGAAATTTCCTACAATCAAAGCTGACCTTGATAATATTTTATCCAGACAGTGACATCTAATCGAGATTTGATAACCTATTAATTCCCAGAACTTAATAGGTCATGATATTCATTTTCACCAAGCGAAGCTGACCCCTGCTATCATTTTTCTCCTAGGTCTGCTCAACTCGGTCCAGACTTCTAATCGAGATTTTACCAAATATTTATTAACCTAGAGGCTTATTTCTAGCTATAAAAATATTTATTTGGGGAATATACTGAATAAACAATGTCTGTTGTTAAAGAAGCTAATAAACCCTTTTCTTTTTTTACCACGAGAAATGACTGATTTAGCAACAAACAACAATTAATTTAATCAACAAATAAATATACATATAATAATTACACGCCCTCTCACACTTAATAAAAATATAAAAGTAAATATTTATTTAGATTTTTAATTGTTTGCTTATAAATAAATATTATGTTTTAAATAATAATGTACATAAAGTCGCCGAAAAATTTATAAAAGCAAAGGGGGGGGGGGTTTAAAGGTGAATGAAAAATAGCGTTTTTAGTAAAATATACTAAATATGTATAAGCATTACTTATAGTAATTTTGTTTTTTAAAGTAATAAAATAATTAATAATACCAAATGGAAGTTTGTTAAATTTTTCGATTTTTAATAGAATAAGGAAAGGTCTTTAACCAACCCCTAAGTCTTTAAGGGTTTTACCAACCCTTAAGTCTTTAACACGTACTGAGAGTTGAACCTAGCTAGCTAAGAGCACAACTGCAAGGTTATACAAATAACTCTGGACAGTTATAGCTGCATTTTAAAATACAGTCAAATGTTGATTCATATACCTCTAGGGCCTGTAAAAGTGTATGTAAAATTCAGGGTTTTTATAAATATGGGGTATAAAGTAGCTCTCCCCACTCAGAGGCTAGATACATAAGTAAAAACTATGTAAAAGAATGTGTAAGCTATAATGTAAGCAAAATAACGATCCGATGTATAACATACTTTTAATTCCGAAGTAAGGTTGGCGGATCCAGATATCCGAATCCAAAATAAGACCGCATATCCAGAAATTTTGGGTTCGGATATCGAATCCAGATATTCGATAATACCTAGAATCAGCCAACCCTATTTTGAAGGTGTAGCTAGTCAAAAATTGGAGGGTCGAGATGCCTCTAATTGATAACGAAATATTAGTATAACAAATTTAATATTAAATTCCCTTATAGAGTGAAAATTTACAAGAAGGAATAATTAATACATTCCTCGATTATCTTATAATAATCCAACTACTTTAAAGTGAATTTCTTTGTATTATTAATACCTAATTATTTTCTAATTAATTTTCATTTAGATATTCTTGTCCTCTTAATATAAAAATAATAAAAAAAACTTTTTTAATTGTTTTATTAAAAGAAAAAATGTGAGTAAATACGTGAAAGTAAATAAAAAAAGAATTGTTGTTGAGAGGGTGGCGGTCATTTCCCTCAATATTATTACTAAAAGTAAGTGTACCTGTTAGTGTTTGTCCTAATAGAAAAAATAAATGTCCATTTTTACAATTATAAATCGAAAATTAATGGATTAAATATAAAATTAAAAGCTAATATTTTATAAAAACACATTGGTATTTTACAGCTACGTTTTATACATAATTTATTAATAATAACTAAAGACCGGACTGAGACGAAATCTCGAACAAAAATCTAGGTTATCGAGATAGATATTTCTTGAGATATCTCTACGATTCTCATACGAACCTCACAGGCCGGCCTCTAATAACCTACAACTTTTTTCAATAATAATATTTTTATACTATGTATCAACTTAGCATGATTTTCATATCGTTTATCAGTGTAGAATTTAGAATTACCTATAGTACATATAATATTTTTACCGAATGCGTAGCGACGGTAGAAGAAACTAAAAATTAGTTTTTAGCTATCGGGAAACGTCTTCCGTAAAATGTCTTCCAAATCTCAGACCTGCTATTTGTAAGTAAAGTTGGCGGATAGTTAGAGATCTTCGGAGATCCGGATCCGCTAACTTATTTGTAAGTCGATACTCTTAAATATTTTTAATTATTTCTTTCAAAAGGGCGAGAGATTGACTAGCTTTAATCAATGAGACGCAATGCAATGCGACCGCTCACCCTCTACCCCTCACTTTCACTCATACACTCTCACTCACTCTCTTTCAAAATTTTTAAATGTGGCATGAAATCTTGTAATAAAATATAATGCAGAGACACTCTCTCCCACCTTTTGAAAATATGTATTCATATAGCAAGACGCTTTTTAATTAGACACTCTCTCTCACCTTATATAATTTAATATTCATATACATATATACGAATTTAAATTTTTATTTAAAATTTTAGAAATTATAAAAATTAATTTAAAATTCCTAATGTTAAAACCGCCACTTTTAACATTGAAATTAATTTTGCTGCTGATTTGTGTTAATCTAATATGGAGTGACCATGTTTTGGACAAACTTGATGAGTTAACAGAGAAAGAGGTTAAAAAATTGTTAAACAAAGTTAAAATGAAAAGTTCCGATTTAAAATTGAAATTGGATCAACTTGATTTTCAAACTACCCAAGTTTACGAGGAAAACAATTTCAAACAAATTAACCAAAAAGAAATGGGATTTTTTAAAATTTTGATAAATTTAATTGAAAAGAAGGCCAACAAAAGTAAAAATAAAATGATTGAAAAAAGTTGGGAAATATTTAAGCCTTTATTTAATGAAATTATTAATTTAATGTTTGAAATAACGACAGTTATAAATCAAAATAATGAAGAAAATAAAAATAAAATATTTATTCCAATTTATTTTTATGGAAGGAAACACGCCAAAAAAATGTTAATTAAATCGAAAAAAATTTTAGAAAATATTAATATTCAAAATTTAAATCCGGAATACATTAAAAACGAATTTAAATATTTATTTAATTCAATAAAATATTTTATTAAAATATTTAAATGGGGGAAAGGAGGAAATAATAGCCGAAAAATGATACAAAAAATAATTGAAGAGGGTGGAGAAATGAACAATTCTAAAGTAATTTTAAAATTGATAAATATAAATTTAAGAGAAGCAATAAAAGTTATATTATCTGAAAATTTGGAAGAAAATATATCAAATTTTAACAAGAATTTAGACAATGTGGTTTGGTCAGATTCTTATGAGGTAAGTGAAAAAAATTTCCATCTCTTGCCGGAAAGGTGGATAGTAAGGGAGTCAGATATTTGGAAATCTTCGGATATCCGAATCAAAGATCTGAATTTAATTTTAAATAAAATATAAAAAAATATTTAAATTATGAACAAATTTTAATAAAGATTTAATTAAATTTTTTAGAACAATAAAAAACAAAATTTAACTACGGCTCAATATAACACGGAAAATATCCGCCGCAAAAGACGTTCACGTAATAGTAATGGCAAATTAATAAGAGAAATATTGAAAGCTATATTTGGTGAAAAGACAGTCAAAAAGTTAGATACCCTGATTGGTTATTTAGCAATTGGATTTTTGTATTTTATCTATATTGCTGGACCTATTTATGAATACATATATAGAATTCACTGCACTTTTCCTGATTTGACTTGGTTTAGAAATCTTCGGCCATTTGGAGGAGGAAATGGACAAAATAACGGGGGAAATCAAGTCGTCGTACAACAACCGCAAATACAACCACAACCAGTACAGCCAATGCTTCCGCAAATGCACCCAAATTTAGTTCACCATATCCGACCACAAGTACCACCACAAATACTGCCTCCACAGATACGACCAAATTTACAACAACAGATGGGGCCACATTTTAATCCACAAATACAACCTCAAAACATTATTCACAACCCTCATCCACATCAACGTCCTCCAATACCGTGGTTTCAGCAGGCCAATTCATTTACCAATATTAGTTATACAAGTATGCCGTCTTCTTCTGATCCAATGTCTTTTTATAATCGAAGCTACAATCCACAACCAGGACAACCATCTGGCTATCAGCCACATATACTATTAGAAGATTCTGATGATGAAAGTATTAATTCTGATGGACGTTCACCATCTCCAGATTATTCTTATCAGGATCGTAAACGTCGTTCTGTTTCTTTAATGAGCAAGAATACTAAAGGAAAGGATAAAAATGAAGAAATTCAAAAAGATAATTCGGATAAGAATTTGACTATCAATTCTGCTAATAATGCTGATGCAAATCAGAATGACAGTGAAATTGGAGATATTTATTTAAAAAGTAGTGTCGAGAAAATTAAAGAGGGCATTACAGAACAGCAAAAATCAGATAAAAAATTCAAAGGTTTTTGAGTAAAAAATTTAAAAATTAATTATAAGTTAGTAAATATTAGGTCTATAATTAGCAGCTGTTCCAAGGGAAGGATAGAGGGAAGGAGGGAAAGATAGACCCTTCAAAAATTCTTCATTATTCTTGTTCCTCGTTTAATTCTCTATCCTATAAGCTTATTTCATCCCATTATCTTATATTTGAATAAAGTTATGGCATAAAATGTGTGCCCCATATCTTTCTTGTCGCCCTGTAAAATAATATAAAGAAAGTCTTTATTGCAATAAAAAATAAATTTTAAGATGATAAAGGATCATGTTCATCTACTTTGAAAGGAAATTTTTTAACTTCTGGTGAAGATACTAAAAATAAAAATTCGTTCCTTCCAAGAAATTTTCCAATGAATTTTGAGATGAAAATTCGCAAAAAAAGAGACATCCTTGACGATCTTCGTGAAGCATGGATAAATTGTGGGCAATGGTTGGCAAATATTTTCGTGTTAATCAACCTTATAGCATATTTTGGCATTTTTGTTTATCTTTGTTATATTCTCTAAAATACTTTCCTCTATCTTTTATTATTCTTTTAACTTTTTTTCTTTTCATATTTAAAATGGGATTTATTAAGAGTTTAGCAAAACCTAACAGAAATCGAACGTGCGGTTGGTTTTTTTTAAAAAGGCTTTCTGTCGGGTTCCATAATTTTCTTCGAACTTGGTTTCGTAACGAAAAAGTTCGGGTTTCGAGTATCGAGTTTATCAGTACCATACATGTACGAACGTAGTTTCCGTTAGTTGTTTTTCCTGTTTCGTTTAGTTAGCGAAACGATTTTCAGAAAATTTTGTTTCGTCTCGTTTGAAAAATTTTTGAGTTTCGTACATGTATCGTCAGTACCGAGGTTAAGAGGGAGAAGGATATTAGGGATGATCGAGAGATCCTGAGTGTTTGAGAGAGATATTTAAATTATTTTTAACCACTTTTGATGTATAAATCCTCAAACAAATGGCCAAATTGTGGAGTAAATTATTTTTAGTTAAAAAGGAAATCTCTGCACAATAACGTGTATTTTAGTCAGATTTGACTTCAGATTAGGTTTTTTTCGCATGACTCGTTCCTCTAATCAGAGGATGGCGGTACGACAATTGCGGATACGCACGTGCGGATGCGACGATTGCGGATATAAAATTTTTAAAAAGTTTAAGATTTTTTAAAGTTTTAAGTGCCACATCAGTCTAAAAATGATTCGGAAACCGTCACAAGTCGGAAACTGACAGCCGGGACTAAAAAACTGAACATCATTTCAATCATTTTTAAAATTAAAAAAAATTTTAATCCGCAATTGTCGCATCCGCACGTGCGTATCCACAATTGTCGTAACACCCAGAGGATGGGACTTTTCTTCCTAACGTTAACAAGTTTGGGTCATAGAGTTGTCATTATAGCGAGATTTCACTGTACCGGTAAATTTAATTTCGTAAAAAATTAATTTAAAACATGGAAGAAAGCCATTATTATGAGGATTTAAATTATTTTGATGTGCCTATTTTTTATTTTCTAATTCCCTAAGCATATTTTAATGTTTTAGTAGAGTTTTTAAGATGAATTATTAGTATAGCAAAATAATCCTTTATTTTTATTTGATTTTTTATTACTTTAAAAACTCTAATAGAAGCTCTATGCTTTAATTTTTCAATCTTTTTATGTAAGTTTAAATTAGAAGATTTCTGAAATTGGGTGTTTTATCAACATTTTTATTTTTAAAAACAATTGTTTTGAGTAATTGAAGGATGTAAAGATTCCAAAAATTTATTTTTTCTTGTTAACCAATGTTTATTTTATTTTCAGTAGATAAAATTTGGTTTTAGATTTTGTTTTAAATTTTCAACAATTAAAAGATAGAACTAGGAAAAAATTAAAGAGTCGATCACCTCTACTTCCAAAAAATAACATTGTACATAGGTATATTGGATGTCGATCAGAGATGGGCGAAAATGAGATTCTGCTCTCAATGAAAACGAAAACCATGAAAAATCCACTAAAATCACGAAAAACGAAAGAAAATATATCTATCTATAGTGTCGGTGCACCTGATCACTGAAAACAAAAATACCTGATTGCCCAAAAGTTCAAACAGACAACAAAAAAAAACAGAGCTAAAGCTAATTATTTTAATCGAATCTGCCAAATAATATCCATTAATAACAAATTATAATTTCATGACTAATTTAGAGGATTTTTCTTTGATCATGCACTTGTATAAAAATTAAAAAATATATAACTTTGAAAGTCCTTTATTCAAAAAATTAGGAAATACATTAATATACAAAATAAATAAATAAATGTATTTATTTATCATTTTTAAACTGGCGTTAATCAGAATTGTATTTTTTTTCTTCTTTAGTAAACGAATATAATATTTCTACCATCCATTTTAGGGATTTCCAACCATATTTCCAACCTTATTCTGATTTGTTTTAAATAACCCAAAAAATTTTCCAAGAAGAATTTTTGTGTCATTCCGAACAGTTTTGTTTAATGTTAAATAAATAACTGGAGGGAAACCTACATAATTTAAAAAAATATTTAAATTTGGTTTCTGAAAACAAAATTTTATTTAAATACATACCATGAATATGTAACCTTAAAAATTAAATAAAAATTATATAAACAAATTTAATTGATAACCAAGAAAAATGTGCCATCATCAATGGAAAAATTCCGTGATTCGAATTATTCATAATGTAAGCATAGGTAATACCCTCTGATGTATTTAACAATGAAATGATAAATACTTGAAGAAAGACCTTAAAAATGGAAAAAAATTCTAGAGAAAAATTACTGAAAAAATCTTCAAGTCAAAAGTTGTACATATTTTTTAAAGTTCGCTTTAAATCAGAGGTGGGTCGGAACATTCAGAAGTGTCGGAAATTGGAACTGTCGGAAATCGGAAATGGCTCAAAAGTCGGAATTCGGAAATAAAATTTTTTTCGGAAATCGGAAGTCGGAAATCGAAATTCCGACCCACATCTGCTTTAAATGAGGACAACTATCAATGTATCAATAGATATATTTGGTTAAATTTTCAGTAACTAATTTTTGGGATGTGAAATATCTGTCCTCAATTTTAGCAATTTTTCTTTGAAATTTTTAAAAATTTTGACTCTTAATTTGTAAAATTAGTGTGTAAATGATGTACAAATTTTACATACAGAATTTACACTTCGAGGAGTAATTAGGGAGGGGGGCAATTATTTGGGTAAATTGGGTATTTAATTTTAACCATTTTTTCTTCCTTCGAAATACTGCCAATTAATTCATGGGCGTTGAAGTAAATGAAAAATAAAAAAATTAAATAAATTAAAGGAGAACCAATAGCCAAAATTGTGTTGTGTATAGTATATATTTTTAAATCGTCTTTAAACTAAAATTAAAATTGGATAAATTAATTAATTTAAAATTAACTAATTCTGTTCTAAAATCTTCATATCCAATTAAAGGATCAAAGAAAAATTCAAAATTTGTTCCATTAAAAATATATGGATGTCGAAATAAAAGCCAGTAAAGTCCATATAAATTACACAAAATAATCCAAATATAGACACGATTATTGTGAAAAAGTTTTTTTGAAATTTTTGGAAATGCCATTTCGATACAACGATTAATTCCCAAAATCTAAAAAAATTATTTATATATAGGTATATTTTTTATAATGTAAAACCAAATCAGCAGAACATTCAGCAGCCCATAAATCTAAATTATAGGTATATTAACAAATATATTTTGATTCTGAAATTTTGGAGAGTGATCCGAATGAAATTCTTGATCTAAGATATATCTAAAATATGACTCAGCAAAATATGACCCTACCGCTGAAAAACCGAATTAATCGAAATTTCGTTTTTTTCTTTCGAGCTATGAAACAGCTTTACTCAGCAGAGCATTATAAAAATTATTTTTTATAGTCTTGCTATTCCAAACCCGTTACGGAATTTCAAGATTCAGGTTTGCAGGGGATGGGTGTTTAATTAAAAGTCTCCAAGTTTTCAAAATTAACTCAATTGACACCCTAAAATAAAAACTTACATAAACAAAAACACCCAGCAATATATGTAAAAATTGGGGAAGTACAGTAAACAACGCCGTTTAAACTAGAAATTCCAACTGCAAATGTTGGTATCCAAAGAATGCATAGATCCAAAATTGAAAGATAAATTAAAAGTTTATAACAAGGATTTTTGTTTCTATTCTTGCAAAAAGAGTAGAGACAAGGGAAATATATAGGCTTAAATTTAAAATTTAGAAATAAATTTTTTTAGGGAATTTATTACATAATATATAAATCCAAGTAAAATACAAATAATTGCAGTTATTGGATATCTTCTTTTTTCAAATGGGATAATATCCACATTAATTCCTGTACAATTGTAAATTATGTCAAATTCATTGCGATTTCACGAAATATATTCCATTTTTGAAATTAGTACTAAATTATAATTTTTAGTTAAGGGGACATATAGGGATTGTGTTAACAAAAATAGCTTTATGAGTATCTACGTTGGTTCTAAAACAAAAACTCTACATATTTTTCAATACGGGTTACAGCCCAAAATCGCGCGCGGCCGAAACGGCGCAAAACCATAACCTGCTGGAAAATGTCGAGCCCTTATGAATTTTGTTACCAATTGGGAATCCGATGGTTTACTTCTTCAGATATTTTTGAGGGAAGGGTCTGTTCTTAATAACTCAAAAGTTTCAACACGCTGATTTAATCGCTCGTTCGGGAATGGGAGAAAGT